CAAAGTTATATTCAGAAAGAATAAACCAGTTTTATTTAAGAAAAGACTTCTATCGGTAAAGTTTCTTCGGAAAGAATTTCTATGGAAAATAAACTAACGAACGGAGACGTAACAATATTTCATTTCTGCTGCATTGCAACGTTAGTAGTGTTTTGGGATTCATCTTATGCTGTACGCTATTTTGACCAATCAGAATAAACTTCACAAATATATCGAGACTGCAACCTGCAATTTTCTGGTCTTTTATTTTGTCAAAACTTTTGAATTGATACTGAGTGGCTATTTCCACCCACAACCAGTATAGGACGTTGTGGGTTTAAGCACAGGATTTTTACCGTTACTATCATTGTTCTTCAGTAGTTTGCATTACAGCTTTTCTCCAGAATTTTAGAAGTCGATTCGGGAGACGCCTTTTGGGTGATATTGCTGCAGGTAACTTCTTCGAACGTTATAGCTTTTGTAGCTACTCTGCAACTGGTATAAATTGTTGTTGTTTTTTCCTATTTTGTTTTCTCCTGCACGAGCTGAACTTAATAATGTTTTTTTTTCTCTTCCTATATCATATTCAACGATCAAAGAACATAACAGAATTTCAATCGTTTAATAAAGTTTGTTATAAATTACTTTTATCCCTGGTTTGTGGTGTTGATATTTCGTCCACTTGCAGATAATGATGATCTTTTTATACTGATATATAACAGAAGAAATAACCAATTTCTTTCCCTCACACACATTAAAGACCATCATAGCCGTTACACAATTTTGTTTTTTCTAACCTAAGTATCCTTTTAAAAAAACAACGAAATTGAATGACGGAATGTCATTTACCAGTACGTACATACAACTGAAAATTTAAACTTCTAGCGAAACAACATTTGATAATGAAATTACCAAAGAAATTTATTACAGGTAATTAATAAATATAAAATGGTGTTCTTAAATGCTCATAAGTTATTATTATTATCTATTTCCCTGACCAAAAAAGTTATAACGTGTCACTCACTACTGAAAACCGTTCCTTACCTGTATCATCTGTGTCGATCTTCTCAGATTCTGAGCAGTTTGACAAATGTCCATATCCTTTTCTACTTGATAAGTACCTGTGTTTGAAGAAATTTAATTAACTAATTAGATATATTTAGCAAAAAACATGTTTTAAGAATAAAAAAATAGTAATGTATATATATATATATAACCCAAACACATACATTACGGAACATTTCAGTAATTTTCGGGACATATTATTAAAACTTTTTTAAATCTAATATTCCGAATATTATTAGGGATGATTTTCAACTTGTTGAAAACTTGCCAAAAAACAACAACAACAACAACAAAAAAAAAAACAGAAAAAAAATCAGTTTTGTGTTTTTAGATGTTGTAGCCTATATCCAAGTATTGTACATTATTATAGAGTTAAAGCTGTGAAATCTTTTCTGGATCAACACAAAGAACTAATTTATCCCAGGTTTAAAAAAAACGTTTTATCTTAAAAGGTTTAAAACTAGTCTTAAAAATGTTTGTTTACTTTCGAGGAACAAATTTTCCATCACATTACTGGTACAGCAATGGGTGCAAAAGTCACTCCAACTTATTTTAAAATCACAATGGTATTTTTCAAAGTACAATTATTTAATATTACGTAATTATTTTGAGTTAATTTTGTAGTTTATATAAGAATTTTTGAAAATATTTCTACATTATTGTTTTGTGATGTGGAAAGATACTCAAGATAGTAATAGGTTTGTTGGGATTTTAAATTCGATGAAGGAGATTAAATTTACCTTTGAAAGAAATAAAAATGCCTTAATCCTATTTAGATGTACTGGTAAGTTTTTCATCAGACAAAAAGAGATTGTAACTGATATTTTTTATAAACCAACAAACTCATATCAATATGCAAATTTGTTAGCAAGAATCTCAAATACATAAAATTAAATGTTTCAGTAAACCTTCCAATGACAAAACGATAGTTAATAAATTACTACAGCTAAACTAAAACAGTTTTTAAACAAATTAAACTTAAACAGTTATTAAAACAAATAGTAGATAAAACAATGAAAAGTGTTTTTAAATATAATAAATTAGTTCATCAAGAAGACAATATAAAAACGTATATAGATCATTGAATAAACCTAAAAAAAAGGTGAAAGAAAGAATTATGGTATATGTAATTTAGGTTATATTAAAACTACATATATTTTGTTTTTCATTAATATTTTATTTAATTGCAATTCTAGAAATATAATTTATTTTTTTGAATATGTAAATTGTGGTAAGAGGATGGGACAGACGAGATGGACCAATAGGCCCCATGTTGTCCCAAAACAATACGTTAAGTTCTATATTATTGTAACAGATAATTTAAGATTAAGAAATAATGTTTTATAAATTCCATATTCGATCTCCCCAAAACCCCAATATATGCCAGCAAACGTTTAAATCAATGTATTTTGAGCAGATATAAAATTTGAAAGAATAATATTTTTTATGTATTCCCATTTTTGGGCATGTAAAATAAAACATAAAATATTACGTTTTCAAAAACATTTGATAAATTTTTGAGCACCACTTTATATAGAGGTTTGTTTATTTTGAAAGCTACACGAGGGCTATCTGCGCTAGCCGTCCCTAATTTAGCAGTGTAAGACTAGAGGGAAAGCAGCCAACTCTTGGGCTACTCTTTTACTAACGGATTAACCATCATATTATAACGCCCCCATGGGCGAGCATGTTTGGTGGGAAGGGGATGCGAACCCGCGACCCGCAGATTGCGATTCGAGCGTCCTAACCACCTGGCCATGCCGGGCCAGAAATAGAGGTGAGAGAGCAACAGTAAAAATTTTATTAGGAATTGTAAAAATATATTTACAAGTAAGAGATATATTTCGTATTAAAATTGTTAAAGATTATGGAAATAAACTATTTTTCTATAATAACAGGAGAAAGTATAATTAATATTAATTTTTCTTTTAATTAAAATTCTAAGGAATAGAAAAGAAAATATATTTGATGAGCTTTAACTAATTTATTTTTCATTATATTTTAATGTATTTGATTTATATAAGAACTGTGTTTTATGTTTGTACATTTTTAAAAATATGTATTTAATTCAGGTTAATCATATTTAGTTGAAAAGTGGTATTTGAATTTTTTTTATAGATTATCTGTAAACTTACGTTCTGAACAGTGTAGTGACCTTTAAAGTCACGAAACCGGTTGAATAAAATAATAATAGAGAGTTTTGTTTGTTTGTTTGGAATTAAGCACAAAGCTACACAATGGGCTGTCTGTGCTCTATACACCACGGGTATCGAAACCAGGTTACTAGCGTTGTAAGTCCGCAGACATACCGCTGTGCCATTGAGGGGCAATAATGGAGAGAAAAAACTGAAAAGTTCAAGGATTGTAGTGTTTTGTTTTATATATGCCTTTTATAGCTCAAGAAATCTTCAACAGATGGCAGGAGCTATGAATATACGTATGCTAGTGTTTTAAGCTGAAGTTCGATTGCAAATTACAGCGTGATTGTTGTCTGTTTTTAATATGTAGGTCGAAAATACAAAACAAATTTGAGTTTTATCAAAACAGTTTCTTTGTCCTGAATAGTTCTTACATTATTTTCTCACACAAACATAGTAATATACGATATTAGTATATGCGATAATAGTGGTTTTCTTCTGCTAACCCCCGTGAAGTACATCAGACTTACCGCTGAGCCACTGTGTGTGGTGGTCTTTAATTTCAAAGTGAGGTTTAGACAAAATTGCTTCAAATCAATCTTGATGGTTTTAGACTAGTTTATAATAGTAAAAAATACCATTGGGATTAACACGCAGAAGGTCTTAAGTAATAGTATTGTTATATCTAATTCTTATTTATTGCAATTCTCAATAACTATTTTAAATGGTGTATGCAAAAAAAACAAAAAAAACAATAAGAAACTGACTAAACACAAAAATTACACTTATTGACACTTGTTGATACTGCTAACAGAATAAATTTATTGTACTAATTTATCTGCTGATTCTGGTTGAGTGAAACTTTTTTTAGATATTTATTCGTTTACTTTTAAAACAGATATAATATGACAGATAAACTATAACATCATTACCGACAAGCTAATGTGGCGTAGCCTCTTTGCTTACTGGCACTTCACAGTAAATATATTTTTAAAACTTAGTCGAAGCAAGTCTGTACAATAAACGATAAGGAGTAAGTTTATAACAAATTATAAAAAAAAAGATAAATACTTTTACTATACCACAACAAGCGCTTTATCGTTAACATTTTTGCATTAATGGAAGCTCAAAAACCGTTTGTTAAATATTTTTCATCTGATAACGAATACAAATAATGTTTATTTAAAAAGACAGTGAATTATGTTAACAAAACAATAGGGTTAAACTCATTCAATGGCAGTATTTTTTGAAGTTTACAGTATATACATTTAGAAGTTTAGAATGAAATAGAAGGCGCTAGTAGCAGAAAATAAATAAATTATAAACGTATATTTTACATTTGTTAAATTTGAACTCGCTGATATTAGTATATCGTTGTAGCTTAAAAAATTGCCCTGCAGTGTGCTACGAAATATAAACTCCTTGCTTTTAATTTTCATTACAGTTTCTCGGGCTACGTTGTTTACGTGACTTCTGTATAGAAAAGTCACGAAATAATTTCGAATTTAATCTAATTAAAACGCACATGTTACAGAGTTAGGAACATACAATAAACTAAAGCTAATAATAATTACGTTTTTTTTCTATGCACCACATCCATTTACGATAAATATTGCTCTTCCTCCAGTAGCTCAGTGCTAAACTTAAGGGTTTATACTCTAAAAACTGGGGTTTGATACCCATGATGGGCAAAGTGCAGGCAGCTTTGCGCTTAAAAACAAATAAATTTTTTATCATTTTTCATATATAATTTCTCATTACATATAAACACTAAATCCACAACTTCCATTAATATTAAGAACCGGAAAAAGCCACTCGACTAATTTTTAGTTATTATTTTTTTTATTGCAGAAAGTTTTCATAAAACAGTTGCCTGAACCGCGTACTTGATTCAACAATTTAATTTTTTTTCCATGTTAATAATCTACCGAAGCTCAGGAAAACTTTGAAACAGCATAAAGTTGAATTGATTCTCATGATTGTTATAAACATTTAAAACGTGAATTACCAGAAAATATAAGTTACATTAAATCTTTACGCGAAAAGAAGAAACAAATAAGATTTTCCCCATACCAGACTCGTAACCTGAAATTGGTAAATACAATTTTCACTCAGAATATTGACATTTACAGATACGACCTCTCATTTTCTACATTTCAAAAGCTAAATCAGTATGTTCAAAGAAGTGGGTTATTCGTCTTATAAAGCGCGATATTCCAAAAAAAATATAAAAATTCAAGGGTATTATGTTTTCACACCAAAAGTACAATATGCTAAATATATTTGTATAACTTGTCTTTTTACACACTCGGACACACGAGCAGATATAGTGGAACTTAAATAAGAAAAACGGCAAAGAACACAGAGGAGGCCTTGCGTGAAAATAATATTATTAGATTTATCCAAACCATAAATTTAAAAGTATCCAAAGATTTATTGTAACAAAATATTCCTTAAAGTCACTATTAATTTACTACGTGATAATGTATATTTACGTTATTTTCAAAATGTCAAAGCTCACTGATATTCGCTCATTTTGTTATGCATTTTAATGTGGATTATTTTAAGCACGGGAAAAAGGAGACATTAACGATTTGTACTGCAATAGTAAAAAATAAAAAATGTCACTAGTGTCAGACGAAACTGTAAGAAACTACAAGTTTAAGAAATAAGGAAAATGAACGCTCATAGAGGGTGTCCAGTTGATCTCACAACTGTAGTCTCTATAGTGTAGAATGCAGAATAATCACATAAAAGCACCTTTTTTTTTTTCTAAATAAAAGATGAAATAATTACATTTTAACTTTAACTTTAAAAATATTATGTCTATGTAATTACGTTTCATATAATGTTATAAAATAGCAAAAATTTTTAACAAAACAGATCATTCAAAGTAAAGTAAGTACATTTCAGCCCTT